TGACACATTCATGGACATTTAGCTAGCTATGCTAGCTAATTTGTCCTGGGGCATAAACATTGGGTTGTTAGTTTACCTGAAATGTATGGTACCTAGTTAGTTTTTAGTTAGTTTTCTTTGAATAATCTCTTCTCGTTCGTCTTTCAATCACCCACGTGAGTAAGTATGCTTGTGAAAACCAATGAGTAGATGGGAGAGGCGGGACTTGCAGCCGTTAAGCGTCTGAAATAGAACCGTTGACGCGCGTGAGCAGTTTGAACGACATGATTGCATAACTTGTACAATTATTTTGTAACGCTCGCGCACGCAACGTGGCAGGTGTGATGATAATGATGGTACATCGGAACTGATGGTCTGTTTACATAGCAGGTTAAGATAATTAACGTGGCAGGTTGGGTGAAGGTTAGGTTAATTAAAGTGACAGGTTAAGTGAATTAACGTGGCAGTTTAGGGGAACCAACAGCAGGTTTGGTGAAATAACGTAGCAGGTTAGGAAACTGAGGTTAAGATTAGGAAAAGGATTAGGGTTTAGCTACAACGCTACAGTTGTCAACAACTGTCGACCACTATATGGAGATGTAGGCCTACTCCATCTAGCCACAAGGGTAGAAATGTAAACAGACCACCAGTCCTGACATACTGTACCATCAATATCATAACACCGGTCTAGTCAGCATGTTAACAAGTTTGTCTTACATAGAATCTTTCTATCTGAAAGTTCCACAACGTTGTGTCTTGCTAAACGCACACCTGGGGCCTGTTGCACAAAAGTAGAATTAAGACATCCGGGATAAATGACTCAGCTGAGCTCAATGAAGCCAAAACATGTGCGTCCAGGCTTAATTGGTTGCACAAAGACCAAGCCAGGATGAGCAGACACGGATTCATTAAGCCAGGTGAAACCAATCCTGGATAGGTGCGCGCTCACGGCTCACTCAAATAGACCCCGCCACAGATCACAGATTAACTGATTTACCATGGCAACTAGAGCCGCGTACTTTTCCCCGTCGGAAGCACAAATCCTCATGGAGGCATACGAGGAGGTAAAAGATATAATTAAGAAGAAAGGCAACACCGCCACAGTGATAAAGCAAGAGAAAAAGCGTGGCAAAGTATTGCAGACCGCCTGAATGCGTAAGTAGTGCACAATTACACACTCACCGCTCCGCTGAAACATCACAATTACAATTCAAATATTTAATTCACATCTCCAAAAATGCAGTTGTACTGTAATTATGAAACGGTTAAATTTTTAATTGAAATGCACTGGCAGATATGAGTGAAATTGTGTAAAGTAACTCCATCACACTGTATAAAGCTATGATAAATTTTTTGATATTTTTACTGAAAACAAGACAAAAATACCAAGTAATTTTTTGCAGTGTGACTCCATTAAATGTGTGTGTGTGTGTGTGTGTGTGTGTGTGTGTGTGTAGATTAAACATGAACGGGCCAAAACGGACATGGCAGCAGGTCAAAATCAAATACAAGAACATTCTGCAGAATGGTATGGTCCCTGACTAATATTTAACAAAGCACAAGCATATATTGTACCCAGAAGGTGCCTGCTCACACATTGTCTGTACTGTTTTAGCAGTGAAAAAGAATACCCCACAGACAAGGCACGGGTGGTGGGTCACCAAAGGCTGACCTTACCCCAGCAGAGGACATGGCCTTGGAGCTAAATAAAGGCAGGCCCGTCTTAGAGGGGATCCCTGGGGGGAAAGAGACGAGCATAGGTTCCTCCCAAGATGCCACCCGCTTCATTCAAGGTATGTCCTTCCATCTCTACATGGGATACAACCACATTCATATTGAATCAATTTGGACTGTCTGACTTTGGTTTACCTATTGCCTTGCAGTGTCTGGCAGCACTGTGTTCCTGTTAGAGCCACCAGCACAAGCACCAGACGATGCTGATCCAGTGAGTACTCCATCAAAGGCATACTGTAGGCCTGGCATGTCTTGTCTACTAGCTTCAATATGAATCCGATTAAATGTGATAGGGTGAAGGCCCCAGTGCAGCAGCAACAGCACATGATGGAGACGATGATGAGGAGGAGACCATCTCTCTGGATTCCAGAAGGCATGAGGTATCATGTTAAGACTGTGAAAGTACTATTTACTCTACAATGGTGAGGAGTCCTCATCAAAATCAAAAAATCTAATTTCTTTTACAGGACCCAGATGCTATACAGTGGGAAAACCAGCCTGGCAACATAGTGCGTATTAATAAAAGGACACCACATCCTGCCAAATTCCAGCTGCGCTAATTGTATTGTGTTCACAGAGCTCACAAGCTATCAGAAAGTTGTATGGCAACCACCTCCGGCGCCAAATAGAACTGGCAGACATAGACATTCAGTACAAGAAGAAAAAGATGGAAAATCTTGCACTGGAGTCCGAAATAAAAAAGAGGACAATTAGGAAACTGGACCTTGAAATAAAAAAACTTGAGAGGGAGGTGAGATATGCCTTCAATGTACACTGTATGCTAACTGTAACACAAATGTATTAATCATTATTTTTCTTTCCTCCCCCAGCTCCAAGAAGATGACACAGCTCAAAATAAAAATTAGGTATATTCTCGTAAAGTCAAGTGAGCCATGACATATGAGCTCTTATTGTGAGCACACAGGACGGTGGCATCTTTCTAAGGTTTTTTTTATTTTCCCAGCAATCAGTACAACCAAGTCATCGTTATAAGGCATCGCCCTCTTTTGCCCACCCCCCCAGCACCAGGTGTGGCCACTAGCCTATATGAAGGCCCAAAATTGTGTGTTCCTTTCTGCTCTGACAATGGCATGCCCATTCGTGCGAGATGTGGTGGATGAAGAAGCACTTGTGCTGAGGAGAGCCTTCAGGCGAGAAAGGGTCTTCAGGACCGGTTGGACCCACTGGCCTTCCCTGATGACCATCTATATGAAAGATACAGGTTTTCTGCAGATGGCATCAGGTATCTATGCAGACTACTGGGTCCCAGGATTAAGCACCGCACTGCACGGAGCCATGCACTGAGTGTGGAGCAAATGGTTTGTGTGGCCTGCGCTTTTTTGCTAGTGGAGCCTTCCTGTACTCATGGGGGATGCAGAACAGCTGAACAAGGCCACATTTGCCGCACAATAAGGAGTGTGTGTCTGGCTATCAAAGCATTAGCAGATGTCTCATCTCCTTCCCTGGCCACAGAAGACTCTGTGACATCAAAGAGGAAGTTCTATAGGATTGCAGGTAAGAGGATCTACAAATTACAGGACAACTGTTAACACATAGTAGGATACTCATTACTTTGTGTGACAGGTTTCCCCCAATGTCATTGGTGCAGTGGACTGCACACACATAAGGATAAAAGCCCCCTCAGGTGCCCATGAGGCCGATTTTGTGAATAGGAAATCCTTTCACAGCATTAATGTTCAGGTGAACATAACTTTTTGATATGTCCATTGACGAACACTCTGCATGCCAGTGATGTGCATTGATTGGTGTAATATCCTCATCTTATGATTTCAGATGGTCTGCAATGCTGACTGTGTGATCAGCAATGTTTTGGCAAAATGGCCTGGCTCAGTCCATGACTCCAGAATCTTTCGGGCCTCTGAAATCTATCAGTGCCTATCACAAGGTAAGCCACACAACCCCTATTTATAAACCATCATGGCTGTGGTCAAGAATATCACTGTGTTTATGAGGTAGTAATGATAGATTTTGTGTTGACAGGTGAATTCTCTGGTGTGTTGCTGGGAGACAGGGGTATGGCTGCCAGCCTTTTCTCCTGACACCTTTCACAGACCCCCCAGGAAGCACAGCAGGCCTACAACCATGCCCATGCCAGGACCAGGGCCAGAGTTGAAATGACCTTTGGCCTCCTGAAGGCACGCTTTCACTGCCTTCACAAATTAAGGGTCAGCCCTGTTAGGGCATGTGATATTACTGTGGCTTGTGCGTCCTCCACAATGTGGCCTGCCTGAGGAAGGAGAGGGCCCCCAGAGTGCCACCAGCCATGGACTGGACAATCCGGCAATCTTCCCTGATGACGACAGTGGTCGGCTGCTGAGGGACCAATATGTTGTTGGAATTATTTTAGTTTATTTGTGCTTTTAATTTTTGGGTTTAAAATGTCCGCGGGGCAGAGGAATTTGGGTTTTTTGGGTTTTGTTTTTTTTGAATTTGGCCCTCTTTTGAGTTTGTGCGGGTTTTGTGTGTAATACAAGGCTGCGGAGGCTACTTTCATCCATCATTTGTCTGTTCATTGTGGTATGGATTTTTCTGCATTTTTTGTAGTGTGCAACATGCAGGGTGTGTTATATGACCTTGAATGGTTTTCATTTGATAATTCTTGGGTTCTGTGCTTTTCCCTCTTTTAGAGTCCGTGACTTCATTTTTGAAAGGAGCTGTGGTTTTCCTGCTTTTTTTGTCCTTTTTCAAAAAAGGAACATAAGTTACACATTGTGTTTTATTCATATGGAGTGTATTTTTTTATATGAAGAGTACTAGGGCCAACTGAAGAAAAAGGATAAAAATCATAAAATTTATGCGGTTTTTCTGAGAAAAACTACTTGTTTTTACCGTTTTTCTTATCTGATACTTAATTCTGGACATAGCAGTCTTTGTTTAGAAACCTATGAAGTACAATTTCACGAAATCCCCATCGTCATTTTAACAACTGCCTCCTTTAAAACAAATGGTTTCAAATTATGATTGTTTTTTTTCCCCTTGTGGCCCAATATTCTACATTTTAAAAAGCCTTATAGTCTAGGGAAACGAAAATTTCTAAAGTAGCAAATATCTAAAAATCATTTTTTTTCCAAATCATTGAAATTAAAGACACAAACGTTTAAATAATGCAGTGGGTCTAGTTTATTTTGAAACAAAGTATAGTGGCATTGGGGAAAAAACTATTGGTTTCCATTTGTGGTGATGCTGACTGACATTAGGGTAGATTAAATGTCTGGAAATTTAGCCTGTCTGGAGCAGGCTAGTCCACAGAAAAATCTCCATGGGAATTATACCCTAACAATCCTCCTGCCCCACCACTTTAGTGCAAAAGGATTAGGATCAATTGAGCCAGGGTCACCAAGTATCCCCGGCTTAATCCTTTTCCAGTTTTTTGCAAAAGGGCCCCCCCCGGGCGACTCAGCCCTTTTTTTGTGCCTCCACCCTATTTTAGTGTGCCCTCCTCCTCCCCGTCCTCTGTGACGGCCTGCCCACCAGCTGACCCATGTCTTCAGGAGAGCGCCCTTCGGCTCGCCCACCTTCACCCCCAGCATATCCAGACTCAGCACCGTGCCTTTAGGGATCGCCACTTTGGCCACAACTGACTTCCCCAGCTGGAAGAGAAAATAATGTAGAGATTTCCTCCTATGTGCTGTTGTTGGCTATAAAGTACAAGCTGAAAAGGGCTAAAGAGAATACTTGATTTAAGGGACTAGAGGTTTATGACAAACATAATGGGCCTACCTTTTAAATGAAAATGAATATGACATTATTATGATTTTTGGAGACAGTTATTATAACGAATGTCAATGGGAAAATATTTATTTAGTCTATTATTGACATATGTTGTATATTTTGTTTATATGTATACATATGTCAATATATACTAAATAAATATTTTTCCCTTTGCCATTTGTAATAATAATAACAGTCTCCAAAAATGATGTCATATTAATTTAAATGTAAAAGGTAGGCCCATTATGTTTGTCATAAACCTCCCATGGCCAACTCACCTTGTCGTGGCAGGCTTTCTCACAGGGTAGCATCTGTTTGATGCCCGTGCCTTGGGCCCGCTCCACAAGGCGGATGGCTCTGACCAGCTCTGTCAGCTCAGAAGGCTCCAGCGACGCTTCGTGGTCGTTGCCCTTCCAGCTCTTGTCCAGGGTCACGTGACGCTCCACGACCTTTGCCCCCATCGCCACTGCTGCCACAGTAATGCTGATTCCCCTTTCATGACCGGAATATCCTATGGGAATATCAGGGAATTCCTTCTGGTATTCCTATGTCAGGAAAAGGGAGAGGGAAATGCCATGGGTCAATTAATTTCCTTCAGTGGTGGCCTGAACAAAAATATTTTAAATTCCTGTTGTCTCTCTCGCTCTCTCTCTCTTCCATTGCTGTGCACTTGACTCAACCTTATGATATTCCTCTGGGGTGACAACAGATAACTTACTGATCCTGCCTGACAACTCCTTCCTTGTAATAAACCAATGGGGAAGTCTTACTGCTATGACACATAAGTTGACATCCTCAGGGTCCAATGGGTAGGCACTGGTGCACTGTAGGATGGTGAAGTTCTGATTGTGCTCCTTGACCGTCTGATAGACCCGTCTCATTGTCGCCATCGACTGCATCCCACTGGATATCACCATAGGCCGTCCTGAGGTAAAACAAAGTTGTAATTTCTCCAGTAACTGACTTTACTGATATGCCGCATATTACACATTTTGACTGCACATTCAGAGTATATTATAATTGCTAACATTTCACTTTTACCACAGTAACAGGTGGCAAAGATGTAGTACATATATACAGTGGGGAAAAAAAGTATTTAGTCAGCCACCAATTGTGCAAGTTCTCCCACTTAAAAAGATGAGAGAGGCCTGTAATTTTCATCATAGGTACACGTCAACTATGACAGACAAATTGAGGAAAAAAAATCCAGAAAATCCCATTGTAGGATTTTTAATGAATTTATTTGCAAATTATGGTGGAAAATAAGTATTTGGTCACCTACAAACAAGCAAGATTTCTGGCTCTCACAGACCTGTAACTTCTTCTTTAAGAGGCTCCTCTGTCCTCCACTCGTTACCTGTATTAATGGCACCTGTTTGAACTTGTTATCAGTATAAAATACACCTGTCCACAACCTCAAACAGTCACACTCCAAACTTCACAATGGCCAAGACCAAAGAGCTGTCAAAGGACACCAAAAACAAAAATTGTAGACCTGCACCAGGCTGGGAAGACTGAATCTGCAATAGGTAAGCAGCTTGGTTTGAAGAAATCAACTGTGGGAGCAATTATTAGGAAATGGAAGACATACAAGACCACTGATAATCTCCCTCGATCTGGGGGCTCCACGCAAGATCTCACCCCATGGGGTCAAAATGATCACAAGAACGGTGAGCAAAAATCCCAGAACCACACGGGGGGACCTAGTGAATGACCTGCAGAGAGCTGGGACCAAAGTAACAAAGCCAACCATCAGTAACACACTACGCCGCCAGGGACTCAAATCCTGCAGTGCGAGACGTGTCCCCCTGCTTAAGCCAGTACATGTCCAGGCCCGTCTGAAGTGCATTTGGATGATCCAGAAGAGGATTGGGAGAATGTCATATGGTCAGATGAAACCAAAATATAACTTTTTGGTAAAAACTCAACTCGTCATGTTTGGAGGACAAAGAATGCTGAGTTGCATCCAAAGAACACCATACCTACTGTGAAGCATGGGGTTGGAAACATCATATGCTTTGGGGCTGTTTTTCTGCAAAGGGACCAGGACGACTGATCCGTGTAAAGGAAAGAATGAATGGGGCCATGTATCGTGAGATTTTGAGTGAAACCCTCCTTCCATCAGCAAGGGCATTGAAGATGAAACGTGGCTGGGTCTTTCAGCATGACAATGATCCCAAACACACCGCCCGGGCAACGAAGGAGTGGCTTCGTAAGAAGCATTTCACGGTCCTGGAGTGGCCTAGCCAGTCTCCAGATCTCAACCCCATAGAAAATCTTTGGAGGGAGTTGAAAGTCTGTGTTGCCCAGCGACAGACCCAAAACATCACTGCTCTAGAGGAGATCTGCATGGAGGAATGGGCCAAAATACCAGCAACAGTGTGTGAAAACCTTGTGAAGACTTACAGAAAACGTTTGACCTGTGTCATTGCCAACAAAGGGTATATAACAAAGTATTGAGAAACTTTTGTTATTGACCAAATACTTATTTTCCACCATAATTTGCAAATAAATTCATTAAAAATCCTACAATGTGATTTTCTGGAATTTTTTTCTCATTTTGTCTGTCATAGTTGACGTGTACCTATGATGAAAATTACAGGCCTCTCTCATCTTTTTAAGTGGGAGAACTTGCACAATTGGTGGCTGACTAAATACTTTTTTCCCCCACTGTAACACAGTGTTAACTTGAATCAATGACCTTTTTTTGCAGTCAGTTCCAGATAGGGGAAATTGTTGGCATCGCATGAGGCAACTTTGAAGAAGGGCACTTCAAGCTCATCCAGGAACTCCACAGCCATCTAACAAGCGTTGCAAAGCAGTTGAGATAGTCATGCATGTTTTGCTTGAAATCCGGAATATCTACACAGTCACAGCAGACTAATTCAATAGACATTTATCATGGAATAATATTTTACCTCATCCATTCCAGAAGCGGTGAAGAAGATTCCAACCTCCTTTGCATATTTCTGGAGCTCTCTATATTGTTCATGACTGAACTCCAGATGACGCTTGTGGTCACCGTATGTCTTTCCCCAGGAATGTTTGGAGTTGTACGGACGCTCCAGAGCACGCTTGTTGAACTTATACTCAAGCTCACTCTTCTGAAATTTGGCGCAGTCTGCCCCGCAGTCCTTTAAATTGATGCCAACATGTGTAATAGCATCAAACACACACACATGCACACACACACACACACACACCCTACTTCCATTTATGCAAATCCATGCACAGCAGCAGTACAGTATCAGGATCACAGCAGAAAATACCATTCCCATCAGTCCTGCCATTTCTACACTACCTTTTGATTTGAGGTTATTAAAGGAAGATTTATAGTAAACTAAAGCTTAAGCCACACAAAAGGGCAGTTTCGCTGACACAGATTAAGCCTAGTCCTGGACAAAAAAACACTTTAATTGAAGACTCAATTCTGCATTCAGCATGCTTTTGTCCAGAACTAGGGTTAATCTGTGTCCAGGAAACCAGCCCTTTAAGTCTTACAATGTCTCTTCATTTAACTTCCAGTACCTTGGCCATCTTGATCATTTTCTTGGCGATTTCAATATCTCCCTGGTGGTTCTGTCCAATTTCTGCAATAATAAAACAGGGGTTAGAACCCCCAATCATCCTGCCAGGACCAAGTTCGAATTTCAGAGGCATTTTCAAAATAAAAGGGATAGATGAAGTTGGTAAATAATTAAGAGCTTATGGCAGAGGCAGTCATGCACGGCGGAATGAGGACGAAATTCCATAACGCCTGCCCTTTTATCCAAATCCTTAAAGTCAGCCCATCCAATGATATGCCAGTATCCTGATGTTTTGCCTGGGTGCCAGTCTGTTTCTGTTCAACTTATGGAATTGTCCTCACATTATTGTCATTTGGCAAGAGCATAGACAAATCTGGGACCAGGCAAAAAACAAACGTGGGCGACGCAAATAAAATGTAAATAAGGATATTTGCAAATATATTCAATAAGGAAATTGGTACAGTGAGACCAAGTTCTCTCTCATGCACAGTTTAGACATCTACAATTAGTGAAGGAGATGGTCTTTTAAGTAGGCTGTTGTTTTTTTTACTGGAAGAAAGACCCACATTGAACGCAGCTTATTAGAAACATTATTTATTTTGAGTGTAAAATGCTGTTTTATATTGCTGTTTTATATCTACCTTTGTATAGCATTATATCATCTTAGAATGAATAGATTGTTTTTATATATCCTTAGGGATTGAAAGTAGTGTTAGGTTTAAGCTCTTTGTGTATGAGAAGTGTAATTATTTAGTGGACTGTAGGAATGTGTAGTCCCAATAACTCAAGGCCTCTCCTGACTGATAAGAAGTGATATGTGATATGCACAGAGAAGTTTAAACAAACATTGGATTATGGCCATTTAGGAAACATCCTGTGTGTGTGTGTGTGTGTTTGTGTGTGAGTGACAGTTGGATGCATCCTGTCAGTAACGGGTGGATAGAGCAATCGTTACTAAATCCGAGGGGATAGAGATAGTATTTAGGACTTAACAGCGTATGGTTCTGGGGTGGGAATTGTTTCTAACACAGATTCCCACCGGAGGAGAATATATTGTGCATATACAAAAGATTCCTAAAATAAAGAATTAATTGTCACGCCCTGACCTTTAATGCCTGTTGTTACTCGTTGGTTTGGTCAGGGTGTGAATATCGATGTGTATATATTTTATTTTATTTATTTTATTTATTTTATTTATTTTATTTATTTTATTTAACCTTTATTTAACCAGGTAAGCCAGCTGAGAACAAGTTCTCATTTACAACTGCGACCTGGCCAAGATAAAGCAAAGCTGTTTATTTAGTTCTATGTTGGCCGGGTGTGGTTCCCATTCAGAGGCAGCTGTCGCTCGTTGTCTCTGAATGGGGATCATACTTAGGTAGCCATTTTTGCCTACCTATGTTGTGGGATCTTGTTTCTGGTTTGGCTTGTTGATGTGTTAGACATTTAAACTTCACGTTGCATTGCTTTGTTGTTTTGTCAAGTGTTTATCTTCATTATTAAAAATGTACGCATACCACGCTGCACTTTGGTCTAGTCCTTCTATCAACGAACGTGACATTAATCCAGAAATTCGGACATGAAAATTAACACTATTAGTGAGTGCCGATTGGTGCCGAAAGGATGCATTATAAAAACATCATAATATAACCCACAACTTGGAATTAAAGTCGTTTTAGAAGAAGGAGTCACTGCTTATTGGGAAAAAAAACCTGGGGTCCAATTTAGGAATTGTCAGTTCATTGAACCTATAAAGTCAACCGTCAAAAAGTCATTTTTGTAACAAAAGATTAGGGGAGGCAAGGACAGAGCTTTCTGGTGATAGGGCTCTTCCTGCCTCCCAATCCACTGACTTGTGGGCACAAACAGTGAAGCAAGCAGTTTAAAAGTGTGTATAAAGGTTGTCACAGTAAGTTTACAGAGACAGGAAAGGACCTCTCAGAGGATCATGGGATGTTATCACTGAGATATAATAAGAACTACAGACAGCCTTGTGGGCACAAACAGTGAAGCAAGCAGTTTAAAAGTGTGTATAAAGGTTGTCACAGTAAGTTTCCAGAGACAGGAAAGGACGTCTCAGAGGATCATGGGATGTTATCACTGAGATATAATAAGAACTACAGACAGCCTCCAAGATGGCTGAACACCGATTTGTGGGGGCTGACATCTCGCTAGTTCTGGTTTCAGGAGCTCATTAGTACATGCCCACTAGCACTGGAGCCCAGCCAAGACGTGCATTCCAGCACAAACCATAGCAGGCCGTAGATCTTGATTAGTGGTGGAGGGGAAATCTGCAGGCATGAAGAACCATCACACAACCCTGACACAACCACTGAAAACATGAAGAAAATGTGTACGCAATTAAGCTATTCAGAACTAAGAGGACTGTGCTATAGCTTGCTCTATATGTGCACCTCAGGAGACAGTTGTATATTTAAGCAATAAGGCCCGGGGGGGAAACATTTAAATGTCTTGGAATGGCCTAGTCAAAGCCCAGACCTCAATCCAATTGAGAATCTGTGGTATGACTTAAAGATTGCTGTAAACCAGCGGAACCCATCCAACTTGAAGGAGCTGGAGCAGTTTTGCCTTGAAGGCAAAATCCCAGTGGCTAGATGTGCCGAGCTTATAGAGACATACCCCAAGAGACTTGCAGCTGTAATTGCTGCAAAAGGTGGCTCTACAAAGTATTTACTTTGTGGGGGTGAATAGTTATGGCTAAGGGCTGTTCTTATGCACGACGCAAAGTGCCTGGAAACAGCCCTTAGCCGTGGTATATTGGCCATATACCACAAACCCCCGAGGTACCTTATTGCTATAATAAACTGGTTACCAATATAATTAGAGCAGTAAAAATAAATGTTGTGTCATACCATTGGTATACGGTCTGATATACTACGGCTGTCAGCCAATCAGCATTCAGGGCTCGAACCACCCAGGTTATAATTTCTGTTTAACAAAACACAATGTTTTTAAAAAACAATCTAATAATTTGAGCTGTGTCCCAATTAATCAGTGCTTTTCCTTCACTCTGCGGTCCAACTCATCCCAAACCATCTCAATTGGGTTGAGGTCGGGTGATTGTGGAGGCCAGGTCATCTGATGCAGCACTCCATCACTCTCCTTGGTCAAATAGCCCTTACACAGCCTGGAAATATGTTTTGGGTCATTGTCCTGTTGAAAAACAAATGATAGTCCCACTATGCGCAAACCAGATGGGATGGCGTGTCGCTGCAGAATGCTGTGGTAGCCATGCTGGTTAAGTGTGCCTTGAATTCTAAATAAATCACTGACAGTGTCACCAGCAAAGCACCTGTCGTATCGAGTGAGTGGTGGTAATTATTGCTGATAAACAAAGGAGTCCGCTTAAGCTGTACCTTGATTAGAAGTCTTTATTCATTATCACAAGCTTACAGCATAAGTTTACAGACTCGCGAGGTCTGGAGAGCAGTGTCCTCCAATTCTAATGGCTGCTCTGCCCTTTCATCGTTTAACCCCTATTTATAAACAATGCAAAAAGATGGGTGGCTCCCTCTTCTGGCCAATCACCAGTCTCCCCTGGGACGTCACCCTCCAAACGGCTACATTTGACCTAACATAACCAACATTCCATTTCTTCAAGAAAAACATTTAACAAAGGCATAGTCCCAATACACGACATATCCCCCCTTCGAGACGAACAGTCTCGAAAACAAACAGAATAGGATTATGACTAGTAACAATTTATCTTATTGAGTATCTTTAACATTAAACCAAAAACATTCTCCTCTAGAGTGTAAATACCTTTCTATGAAATATGAACAACTGTTTATGAAGTGTGAATACATTACTATCTTTATGAAGTGTGAATACATTACTATGAAATATGAACAAATCTTTATGGAGTGTAAGAGCGAAAAACTGTCCGGCAACCTTCCATCCATCAATCAAGACAGTAAAATTCTCTCACGGTCCCTCTGCCCCAGGCAACCACCTCGGTACTCCAGATAACCTCATAAACAATGTAAATGCATTTGAAACTATGATGCAATTAAATACACATGTAAGCCCCTGCAAACAAAATCCTATCCAATAAATATCCATTGTAAGGCTGGTCAACCCATTGGACCCTACAGTGAACCTCTCCCTGCCTAATTCCCTGTCCCTAAACATCACCGAAATAAACAAAAACATCTAAGATCCTCACATGTATTCAATAACATCAAACATCATTCTACAAAAATTAATACCTAAGAATATGACACAATTATGTATTACACATGTCTATATTTCATTGCAGACACTGGAATGTAGTCCACTACACTTCATCTCCCCGTAGTCTCCTCTTCCAATGGACTGTTGATGATGGAATCGGCCACACCCTCCTTGTTTCATCTCCTCCAGTCATATTATCCCTTCCCATGTTCCCCCAAATGCTTCTGAAAGAAAAGGAAAGACCAAACAGTATCTTTTGCAAAACAACACTTTCAAATTGACCATCAATATCAACTAAGAATATAAAAATGATATATAAATGATGTATGAATCACATTAACCTCTTCCCCCCTTGATTCATAAAATCATACCAACATCACCCCAATATTGAAAAAAAATAAATTTGAAAAATCATCAAATAATCAAAAATGATATTTATCCATTCAGTTCCACTGGTCCATCTTCATCCAGATCAGGAACAGTCAACACCGGCATCTGAGTGTTGTCTCCAGGCATCACTCTCCAACCTATCTCAATATCATAGCTTTCTCAAAGGTCAGTAACAAATTACAAACATCACACACAGTGTTATCAAAGCTGCCATTAAATGTACCCCATCACTGCCCCTACTGGCCTACCTGATCTTGCAACCAAGTCTTCTCAGATCTCCCAAACGCATCCCTTATATTCTTCAATGCATATATAACTATCTGAACTATCTGGACTCAAAGTATAACTATTATCATCAATAGGATCTTCCCAAATGTTACACCATACCATGGAAAAAGTCCCCCCTTCTCCCTTAGATTTATCCTTCAATGATAGGCTTGAAGACTATGACATGTAGCCATGTCTCTTTTCATCCAATTTCAAACCTAGCTTCAGATTTCTGTGTCCGGTGCTACCCCTCTTATAATGGTAAAAACCTCATATGGAAGCTTCAACGTTGACATGTAACAACATCCTGTCCATCCATAATGTAAGAATATATACTTTATCACCACAAAC